GAAATTCGGTCACAGTTCCTATGATCACTGTTACATTGCTTTTATGGCTATATTTTGGTAATTTCGAAAAGTTTTTTGGTTTGGCCATGTTTGTTTGTTGTAGTACGGAGTTAGACTGATGGCCTTAATCTAAGTTGTCTTGTGGTTGCTGTTGTTTGACTTGCATCCCACTGGGATTTTTGCACACAGCGTTGGTGTACGGTGCTTTTTGTGGAATATTTTGCTTCTTTTCCTGGGTTTTCTGTTTGCACATAGTCACATAGTCACTTTAAGATGTTTTCTTGTTCATGTTTTTGTTTCATGTTTTAGTTTTTTGTTTGTTGCGGTTGCACCCGATTTAAGAGCCGAATGGCTCTCAGGGCTATACCAAATAAATGAAACTGAAAACTGAAAAAACTCTGTTGTAGCAGACGAATAGAAAATATGGCATCTGTGCAGGACCGCCCTGGCCTGAAACCACATTGGGGCTCCACAAGTCTCTCCTCAGCGTGCCTAGCAAGGCGATGTTGAATAATCCTTGCCAGGACCTTTCCCAGCACATTGAGGAGGGAGATGCCCCTGTAGTTGTTACAGTCTGTTCAGTCGCCCTTATTAAAGATGAGGACCACCAGGGCATCCTTCCAATCCTGCGGAACCCATCCAGTGGTCCAGACTGTTTATATGATATCATATAGGGCAGTCTGCACACAAACGCTACCCTCCCTCAGCATTTCTCTTGGGAGATCATCTCTGCCCGGCGTTTTTCCTTGTCTCAGACTCTAGATCGCCTTCTGTACTGGCCAGCACCACGACCAACCGCCTTTGTCTCCCCAGTGGCCGCCATGTTTACACACTGCAACAGGTACTAATTTGAGGCTGAGTCTACCTAGGGGAGGCCCAGGACCGGTTCAGATAATCGTCACTTGTGTTGGCCGTGAGCGTGAATCGAACCCGGATTGCCAGGTTCATAGCGCAGAGCGCTAACCGCTACACTATCGCTCCCCAAAAATGCACACACTCACACAGGCCAAAACGCATGCACACACACATACGCCCACACACGCACACAAACGCACACACACGCACATATGCACACTAACACACAAACACTGACATGCACACTCACATGCACACACAAAGAGAAAGATCCCCATACAAAAACAAAGCCTTTACAGATTGTAGGGGGAAGTGCTGTTAGCGAGCAATAATGAAGGCCGGTACAGCGCACTACAGGGTGGGTGGCCAGCACAACGCCGAGCCGTTTTTGTTACCCCAGTGGCGATGTTTTTTTTCCGCATCGCACCAGGTACTCATTTGAGGCCGAGTCAACCTATGGGAGGCCCAGAACTGGCATAGATAATGATCACCGGTGTTGTTGGGCCGTGAACGGGAATCGAACTTGGGTCGCTGTGGTTCGTAGTGCAGCACGCTAACCGCTGCGCCACCGTTCTCCACACACGCTCCCCACACGTGTGCGCACGTACGCTAGCCGCGTACAGATGGCAAATGAAAACCTAGTAGTAAATACGCAACGAGCAGAGGGTCAACCCAAAAGTGACGCGTCCTGCATAGGAAGCAGGCCCCAGCTCTCATTAAACAAACACGGCACGGCGCCGCCGCAGAGAGGACTCATGCGGCGGGCACGGCTACTGATCTAACAGAAAATATACGAGGGGTAATTATTCACTCGCGCCCCTGTGATTGATTCAGAATGCCTTCAAAGGTCTGCCATGGGGACAAAACGTTCCGCATTTTGATTATTTAATTGCGATACAATTTATATTGTTTTTTTAGCTGTTTTTTCTTGCTCCGACACGTATCAGAAGGAAATGAATGCATTTGCACGAATTAATAAATTGGCTGACCTTGGTGAAGAAAGGTGGCCTTACCACATGCCTGAGCCATATGGTCAGGCAATAGGGAGTGATGACACCGCTTCCACGACGCGGGTTGAAAGGTTGGCGAATCTTATCATCAGCCACGTCAACACCGGTAAAAGCAACACTGGCCACGGCAACTCCGGCAACGGTAACACCGCCAATAGCAACATGGCAATGGAGACACCGCCAAAAGCAACTCCGGCAACGTTAACACCGCAAATAGCAACAACGGCAACGGCACGATCACCATCGTTGTGTTCACCTTTGTCAGCATCGCCATTACGGATCGAAACACACGTGGATAACAGGATGAGTACACTGTCACAACTTTTTTTTGTTCCTGGGTAGTAAATGATATTTCCTAATTGCTTATGTCTCAAAAGTACAGAAAATAACTATTATTACCCACAAACTTTGCTTTTGTGAACAGGACCATGATATTTTGAAGTTTACCTATTTTCCAGAACATTCCAGATAGATTCAGTGCTGAGTAAACTTGGAGTAACTTCTACAACATTCTAGAACTTTCCGGTAATATAAATAATAGTCTAAATACAGGGGCCTTAAGCCAACCAGTTCAGTTTAGTTCCAGTTGCCTAAGTGGATACATATATGCATTTTTCTTAGATGGCATCAAGAGGCTGCAAGCATCCAGAAGATGCATTTTGCTATGTCTGCGGCCAATTTATTAAGACAAGAGCGAAAAAGTACTATGTGGAAGCCAAGATGTGTGAGGACTACAAGGCATATTTCGGCATGCCTGTCAGGGATCAAAACAAACCCTGGGCACCTCATTTCACCTGCGAGCAATGCAAAAACAACTCTGGAAGGTAAGATGGACAATTGTTGCTCGGTATTTTATGTTATAAAATTTGTTTAAAAAATGTAATTGAATACGTTTTTTCTTTTTCTTTCTTTTTTCAGGATGGTACAGAGGGGAAAAGAGAGCCATGAAGAATTTGGCGGGAACCCACTGACCACTCAAGCAACTGCTACTTCTGCATGGTGGACCCTTCCAAACGTCGGACTGGCAAGAATGCACCTGCTATCACGTATCCCGACCTTCCTTCATCCATCGCCATACTGCCATGAGCTCCCCGTACCCACTCCTCCGGAGAGAGAGCAGCTGTCTTTAGAAGAGAGCAGCAAGTCAGAGAGTGATGAAGACGTTGTAGATTCAGATGACAATTTCAGAAGTGGAGTTGAGGAGAGAAACCCATATTACCCCAACCAAAAATACCTCAACCACTTCATCAGAGATCTTGGTCTCACCAAGTCCAATGCCGAGCTTTTGACGTCTAGGCTCAAGCAGTGGAACTTGTTGGATAAACGTGTGCAAGTCGCAGATCAGAGGAAACGTCACCAATCTTTTCCAGCTTCTTCACCCGCCAAGATGGGCTCTGCTTCTGCCACAATGTGACCAGTCTGTTCGAGGCAATCGGAATGACCTGTAACCAAAATGAGTGGCGCCTCTTCATTAACAGCTCATCCAGGAGCCTCAAAGCCGTGCTGCTCCATAATGGTAACAAGTACCCGTCTCTTCCCCTGGCTCACTCGGTGCACATTAAAGATGATTACAAGAGCATCAAGACCTTGCTGGACGCCTTGAAGTATGATGAGTACGGTTGGGAGGTCATCGGAGACTTCAAAAGTGTGGCATTTTTGATGGGTCTCCAAGGCAGTTTAACCAAGTTTCCCTGCTATTTTTGCCTTTGGGATAGCAGGGACACCAAGGCGCACTACCACAGGCGGGAATAGCCACAGCGGATCGAGTTCTTTGTGGGGAGGAAAAACGTCAAGTGGGAACCCCTGGTGGACCCCCGGAAGGTGCTGATGCCACCACTGCACATCAAATTTGGCCTTATGAAACAATTTGTCGGAGCTGTAGATAAGGAGTCGGCAGCTTTCAAGTACCTTAAAGACTTCTTCCCTGAGCTGTCTGAGGCAAAGGTCACAGCCGGTGTCTTCGTCAGACCACAGATAAGGAAGAATTCCCCAAGAAGCTCACTAGTAAGGAGAAAGTGGCTTGGAACAGCTTTGTCGCAGTGGTTCGTGGCTTCCTGGGCAATAACAAGGTCGAAAACGATGTGGAGCTGGTTGAGACTGGTGAAGAACTACGGTACAATGAGCTGGAGGATGTCCTTCAAAGTCCATATCCTTGATGCTCATCTTGATAAATTCAAGGAGAACATGGGGGCATGCTCGGAGGAGTCAAGGTGAGCGCTTCCACCAGGATATACTGGACAGCATAACGAGAACATGATGGGATACTACATTTGAGGGCTAATTTGTGAAAGTGATTTACAGTATAATCGTAAATATCGAAAAACTACTCACTTCTAAATCTTTTGTAGTCATTTTTGTATTACTTTAGTATAAATACATGTTAATTTTGATTCATATGTTGTTTTTTCTGACTTAATGTGAACGAAAAGATAGAAATTCACCCGTTTCCTCGTTTAAAATAGGTACATTTCAAAATATCACTGTCCTGGTCACAAAAGCAAAGTTTGTGGGGAAAAATAACCATTTTATATACTTTTTAGGCATAAACAATTACACAATAACACCTACTACCCAGGAACAAAAATTGTATTACATAGTGGTATCATTAATTAATTCGCACATCCAAATGGCGCAGTTGTCTACGCATGGTGTGAAAGAAGTTCAACAAACATACAGACATACAAAAACCTCACTGAGTCTCAAGACTCTTTGTCAGGAAGGTCTTGGCAAATTTTCACAGCAGGGGGGTGGGCGATGCTGCTGCTGTGTGTAATGCCCAATTGGGTAACTTGCAGGCACATTTTTCAGCTTTGGGATGTTTACGGTGTGCTATTTTTGCTAAGCTGTGAAAGGAAAACCGTAGAATCCGGAAAGAAACCCACGGAGAACACTGGCGGATGGGGAGAGAGAACACACAAACACCGCACAGGGAGACCACTCCAGCCGGGTATCGTACCTCGGCCCCCACTTCTTACTGCGAGACGCGAGCGTCGCCACTGCTTTAATGTTACCCTGCCAGTGCTGAGTTTGGAGGGAAGCCGCACCCGCACCACACCGCACCGCACCAAACCGTACTGCACCACACCGTACCGAACCACATGGAAACCGCACCACGCCGAAGCGACGCCAACTCACCAATGCACACGAGGTCCATGAAGCCGTACATGCCGTAGCAGATCTGGAAGAGCATGTCCTGGCGCTGCCAGCGGGCCGAGGTGCTGAATGCTGACCACACGAGCCACAGGATGCTCGCCACAAGGAAGAGGCAGCCCAGGATGACCGCCGCTATCTGCACCTTCTCGATCATGGTCAGCGAGATGGCTTGCCACTGGCGGGGGGGAGGGAGCGGAAGAGGAGGGAGGATGATGTGACACCATTCAGCGGGCATCGTCTGCATGTTGGGGGCATCCCACCTCGCAGGAAACAACGCCGTTGCTCTCACGTCGGTTTGCCGCAACCTGTCCTGAATACGGGCAGGGCAGTGCGCATCACGGTCACTTGGCAGGCATGAATGTTGGTATGTACATTATGTACGTTGAACTTCTTTCGCACCATACGTGGCTAACCGCGCCAATCGGAGGTGCGGGGAAAGGACAACAAAATAAACACAAAAAGCAGCTCTAAATAAATTAGTTTGTTAATGTAGATGGTTTAAAAGGACACGGCTCTCGGTGGCTTCCTCAGCGGGCATCACCGTCACTCCCGCTGCCAGGGATTTATTTGACTCCTCCGGGCCGCACCGGAGATCCCGGGGATCCTACACGACCCATGGGGGTGACCTCTGGCCACGCCAGCCCAGCGATTCCCCGGCCGGCTGTGAACCCGGCATCCACCTCCGCACCGCACGGCTATCGACGACCATGGCTTCTCTTTCATATGTCCGGGAATTATGTTGCGTCGCATCCTCTACCCAGAGCCGCTGTACAGTGTTGGCATTGGAGGCTTGGTTTGGCTCGCACGTTCACTCGGGGAGCTCAGGCTCGTGTGCGCGGCACGCAGTCGGCAAACTGGAGCCGCGACGGTCGAGAGAGCACACGAGCAGCCCGACGCGTTAAAGTGATGAGAGATAAAGTGATGAGAGATAAAGTGATGAGAGATAAAGTGATGAAAGATAAAGTGATGAGCGATAAAGTGAGAAAAGATAAAGTGATGAGATAAAATGTTGAGAGATAAAGTGATTGAGAGATAAAGTGATGAGGGATAAATCGATGGGCGATAAAGTGATTGAGAGGTAAAGTGATTATTCGAGACAGGTTTTGTGTACCTCGCTGCGTGTATATTTATTTTGCACACGCAACAAAGGCAAAGATTCCCCGTATGGCCTTAAAATAATTTTGGGGCAAGTGCTGGGAGCGAGCAGCACCTATGAAGGCCGACAAGGCACACAAGGGCGTGGGTGGCCAGCACCATGCCCGGCCGGATACTCATTTGAGGCTGAGTCGACCTAGGGGAGGCCCAGAACCAGTTGAAATAATAGTCACTGGTGCTGGCCATGAGCTGCAATCGAACTCGGGTTGCAGGGTTCGTAGCGCAGAGTGCTAACCGCTACACACACACACATCCACACACACAACATCCACACACATAATTCATGGTCAAAACATTGAACAAAGACAGAATATCCCTAGGTTCAGATTTGTTCATTTGTACTTCAGTCTATTTACGTCTGAGACTTATTCCACGACATGTGCAGGATATGATGAAGAGAAACAAGTATGCTTAGATATATGCCTGTCATAAGGTTGGCTCAAATTTGACCTTGGTCTCAATACAAAGTACGGTGTGAATGGAAGCGGCTGTCTAGCCACGATGTCACCATGGGCTCGAGTCACCATTCATCCAATTACTTGTCTGTGATCACTCGGACGGTTTATCACACTATGTCAGAAAATAAAAGTTTTGCTGGCTGGCTGGCTCGCTCGCGTGAGGGTGAGGTGACCGCGCCTAGCTTAGCTAATTCATAAACTCCATCGTCAAACCCAAGAAACCGAAGACGTTCAATCAAATTGCACTGTTTAACGATCACAAGAACAAGAATTGGAAGAGGTGACAAAGTAGTTTTTTCTATTGCACCACCACCAATGTTTCGGAACAACCTTGTTTCCTCCCCTTAACATAGTAAATCTACCTTCAAAAAATACCTTGAAGCAGAAGATGAGTAGTGGCGGATACAACCACATTTTCCAACGTGATTTGTAATTTTGATCCTTGCTCGTGTATCGATAGTTCAATTTGAATGTGCAATTGTTTTTTTATTGAGGGAACGTGTGTGTTGCCCTGGTGTGGTCTGGGACTTTTGTTGTTGTTTTTGCTGCCTTGCTTCGAGCTTGCATTTAGTGTTGGAAAAATCGGTAGCAATTTATGTACTTTTGCAATTTGTACTTACATGCTTAGTGTATAACACGTAGGCTTTTGCGACCAATATTATTCATAATAAAGGTTTTTGGGTTAGATCGCATGAGTATAAATGTGATGTTAACCCGCCACCACCCGACACAGCCAATTAGTAAGGTTTGTCACGTAACCAAAACGTGCCAATTAGTTACTACCTCAAATTTTAAATGTTAAATTTTGACTTAAAACTTTCGTGACTGCAGGAATTCAGATTCTTAGGTTCTTTTGGTAAAGTCACGTAGATATCAGTAGATGACGATCGCTTGTGTTGTGATCGAAACGTCGTAGTTTTTATTTTATTTTCTTTACTTTTTTTTCTATCTACGTGACTTTACCGAAACAACCAAAGGATATTGTAAATGTTGTTGTGAATTTACTCTCCAACACACATCCGGTGTGTGCTGAACGAGTCACGAATTGGCACGTTTTGTTTACGTGACAAACCTTACTAATTGACTGTGTTGGGTGGTGGTGGGTTTAACGGGTGCTTCCGACGACACTGGACGACGACGCCTTGGGGGCGTTCTACGCCATTCCGCCGGAGGACCGCCAAACGCTTCCACAAGCTCTTGCCCAGATGGCGCGAATGTTTGACTCGCCATCTAATGTGCGACACAAGTTTGCTGCACGATGGCTGGGGGGGGGGGGGCGAGACACCCCTTGCCTTCCGCAGCGTGCTTCTGTCGCTGGCGCAGGTCGCATACCCAAAAATGGACAAGGACGGGTTGGACTCCTTGGTCCTGGAGCGCATGTTGGGGCTGGCCCAGGAACTGGACATCGTTTTGCCAGCCACAGAAGAGGACGACTCGTCGTCTTTAAAGGTCGCGCGGTTTCTTCAGGCGTACTTCAATTTCAAGCGGTGTGTGAGAGTGGCGGTATGCGCCAGACCCTCCAAGTTGGTGGAATCGCCCAAAGCCATTGATCCTTCTCAAGCTTTCGCTTCGCTCGACGGCAACAGGTGGAGGAAGGCAGAGCGGAAAGAAGATCGAAACTTGAGGAAGGCGACTGGCCTTCGCCTGAAAAGCACTCCCATTGTCTGCTTCAAATGCGGCCTGCCAGGACACATTTCGACAGGATGCCGGGCCAACCGAGGGAGACTCTCCATGGTGCCGTCATCCTCCCCCCGGCCATATTCGAATCTGCTGGGTCCCCAGGCGAGTCGCATCACACCACACACTCGGCCCTTGCAGTCACCTCACGCATCGTATTCGGGCGCTGAGTAGCGTTCGCGTGTTGGACAGTCCTGTTGGGTCGTTAAATTAGAGTATCGAGGTTTGGTGGGTGACGGGTTGCCACGGCGGCCTGGTTAGTGGTCGGCGTTGGGCCACCATATTGTTGCTGCGTCGGCGGGTTCGTCTGCCATCATTGGAACCATACAGGGGGTAGAGGTGCGGATGCTCATTGACACCGGAGCATCCTCAAGATCCTTGTGGATCAGGGGTGCATCGTGTTGCCATCGGCCGCCGAATGGCGTTTTTGTCCTCCCCGACGCGCTGGTGCACAGCAAACGCCACAGCACAAGTGCTGGTGTTACAAACTGTTACAATTCCCCCAGGTGCTCAAATGCTTGTGCCCTTGTGGCTGCACAAGCAGCTCGATTGGGAAGCTACCATGGGAGGAATCCTCTTAACCCCTTTGAACAAGGTAGTCTGGGGCCTTACAATAGTGGGAGCCCAGTTTAAAACACTGGTCTGGAATCCACTATAATACAGTCAGGTACTGTCCTTGCTCATGCGTCAGCAGCATGTTGCGCGGAAACAGGTGCTGAACCTGTCAGAGTTGCGGTGGCTGTGGAGTGGGGAGAGAGTTGGGATGAGTCATGCATGAACTCGCTCTGCTCTGAGAGCCCTGATTTGTCTCACTCACAGAGGTCCGAGTTGCGTGCACTTCTTCGGGATTTCTCGGATAGTTTTAGTAAGGTGAAGTTCGACATCAGCCGCACGATGCTGTTGCATCACCATATTGATATGGGGAATGACGCCCCCATTCGGCAAAACCTGTAAAGGTTGAGCCCGAGAGAGAAGGATCACGTTCAACAGGCAGTCGACGAGATGTTGGCGACGGATATAATTTCCCCATCAAATAGTCCATGGGGGGCTCCCATTGTCCTTGTTAAGAAACAGGACGGAACTTTGAGGTTTTGTGTGGATTTCCGAAAACTTAATAAGGTGTCCGTGGCGGATGCTTTCCCGATCCCACGGATGGATGATTCCCTGGATGCCCTATCAGGGGCGCGGTTTTTATCAACCCTTGAGATACTATCGGGATTCTGGCAGTTGCCGTTGGATAAATGTTCGAAACCAACGACGGCGTTCGCACTACTCAAGGGTTGCTTGAATATAACCGCCTTCCTATGGGGCTCCATTCGTATCCAACACTGTTCCAGAGACTCATGGAGTTGGTTTTGGCGGGACTCCAAATGGGACTCATGTCTGTTTTACCTGGACAACGTCATTGTGTTTGCAATTACGTTTGAGAAACACTTTCAACGGTTGCGGGTGGGTTTTGTTAAAATGCGGGAAGCTAATCTGAAATTTAAACCACAAAAATGCCACCTCCTACAAAAATAGGATCAATACCTGGGCCACATTGTGGGCGAATCGGGGATAGCTATGGACCCTGACAAAATGGCGTGCGTGCACACATGGCCAACCCCCAAGACAGTGGGTGAAGTACGTAGTTTCGTAGGGTTCGCCTCTTATTACTGCCGGTTCGTGCCCAGGTTCGCAACAATGGCAAAACTGCTCCATATTCTCATGGCGAAAGGCCAAAAATGTCGATGGGAGAAGGAGGAGGAGGAGGCACCTCCCCTCCGATACCCTGATTTTTCATTGCCTTTCATCCTGGACATGGACGCCAGTGACACTGGGATTGGCGCCGTGTTGTCTCAGGTTGTGGAAGGGGTGGAGAATGTTGTGGCATATGGGCGTCGTG